AATTGAGAGCAATATATCAGAACAAAAGAGATTACAGTATATCCTGCAGTTTTGAGAGCATATGTTTCTACATATGTAGCCCTACATATTTGTCGCTGTCTCAAGTGTCAAATGGTTTCAAGACCATGGTCATGACGTCCAACAAATCAAGTCTATAAAAAGTATAGTATGCGATTACTGAGACAGTGTATATGCAGGTGAAGAGGAGAATGAGCTAAGAGGGGAGGAAAACAAGGTAGTTGGTAAAAATATCTTTTAAATCCTGTTATTGAATTCAATTTTTAGCCAAAGCAATCACAATATGCACCAAAAGAAAATCAGTTTGTCAAGGACCACATTCAGGCTTACCTTGATGAACCCAGGGTAGCAACAGAAACAATCAAGGAAATGGGAGGTTATATGATGTACTGGCACAATGCATCACAGTCCTGACCACAACTCTCACGAATGGGTTCTGATTTCTGCTCAGCCCCAGGTAAGCACCATTATTCACACTTATGTTCCTTTATTTTCAACAATTGTTGCAGCTACTTCTGTGGATGCAGAGCGAGCATTTTCCACTGGCCACCGTCAGATCAATTTCACCCAGCACAATATTAACTCTCAAACATTCAGAGCGGAAATGGCTCTCAGATCCTGGATTAAATCCCCCCTCTACCCAGGCTTCAATAAAGTTATGCAAATGATTGAAAAAAAGATGGACAATGATTTCTTTTTGTAACACTTTATGTCACCAAAATTGTTCTTTCAATACCTCTACATAAATATCAATTGTTCTCAAAGGCATTTCTCTGAAACTGAAAATAAATACTCTCAAGATGGCCAAGGCATGCTAATACACACCCCAAAACACACTCTGTGATCAAGGCTCAGTTACAGCAGCATTATATAAAGGGAAAGACCTCAGATTATGATATATAAATAACTTTAGTTTTACTGTACTCAATCTAGATCATATATGAATGACTTTTGTTTTAATATGAATTCTTCTGAATTTTCGCTTCATAACACAATTTTTTTTGTAAAGAACAGACAAGAAATGAACAAGATACACTCATTTATATAACTGAAGCTATGTCCTCAGCCACTCAGGCCGTTTTACCCACGGATATATCCGTAATGTGCCTTATCTGATCTGTGGGTGGGAAAATCCGTGGATCGGGTACGGTTAATACCCGGGTGTATCCATGACAGTCCCTACTGTAGGTCAGAG